GTTGTACATGGTTGTTTGTGTGTTGCCTCCCCCATTGGACTGATCTCCCTGAGAACAGGGACTGGTTTTTTGCCTTTCTTTGTATCCTCAGTGGTTAGCACATTGCCTGGACATAGCTGACATTTTATAAGTGCTTGTTGACTTTACAAGGATGGTTGTTGGATTTTGTCAAAAACCTTTTCGGCATCTTTTGATATAATTATGTGTTTTTTTGTTATTTACACATATACACGATGTTAAAGATATTTATATATGAACTATATATTTATAATGTACAAATATATGAAACCTATTTATGTGCTTTTTCTATATTTTTATATATAGATGATTTATTCTATTTTAAATCTTCATTTTGTAGAAACAAACCTACATTCTGGGTATAAATGCAGCTTGGTCATAATATGTAATCTTTCTAACATGCTGCTGCACCCTTTTTGTTAATATTTCACTTAAATCGTTTGCATCAATGTTCATTGGGAATATTTTCTAAACTTTTCCTTCTCTGCTTTGACTCTCTTGTTTAGGTATCAAGATCATATTTGTGTCATAGAAAGAGATTAGAAGGGTGCTTTCCTTTGTTATACGGCAAACAGTTTGTGTAATATTGGAATAAGCAATTACTTATTAAATGCTTGATAGGATTCACTTTTTAAATCTATCTGGTCCAACTAATGTACTGTTGGTGGAGTTGTGAACTGATGCAACCATTCTGGAGGGCAATTTGGAACTATGTCCAAAAGGATATAAAACCATGCATACCTTTCCATCCAGCAATACCACTACCAAGTCTATATCCCAAAGACATTTTTTAAAAAAAGGAAAAAAGGTTATATGTACAAAAATGTTTATAGCAGGTCATTTAGTGCTGGCAAAGAATTGGAGATTGAGGGGATGTTCATCAATTGGGGAATGGCTGAACAAGTTGTGGTTTATGATTGTGATGAAATACTATGGTGCTGTAAAAAAATGCCAAACAGGATGCTCTCAGAAAAACCTGGAAAGACTTACATGAACTGATACAAAGTGAAGTGAGCAGAACCAGGAGAACATTGTACATAGTAGCAGTAATACAGTATGATGATCAGCTGTCAATGACTTAGTTATTCTAATAATACAAAGATCCAAGACAATTCCAAAGGACTCATAGTTTAAAATGCTATCCACCTTCAGAGAAAGAAGTGATGGAGTCTGAATACAGATTAAAGCAAATTATTTTTAACTTGATTTTTTGTGGGTTGGGGTTTTTTTTTTGTCTGTTTTCTTTTATAACATGACAAATATGTAAATATGTTTTTCATGCCTGCACATATAGAACCTATATCAAATTGCTTGCCTTCTCAGTGAGGTCAAAGGTGAGAGAGGGAGAGAATTTGAACTCAAAATTTTAAAATATACATTAAACATTTTTACATGTAATTTTAAAAACTAGAATATTTAAAGTGCAAAAAATCTATCTGGTCCTGGTTTCCCCCCTCCCCCTTTGGGAATTCATTTATGACTTATTCAGTTTCTCTGAAATAATTTATTTTTTCTTTTGTTAATCTGGACATTTCATAGTTTTCTAAGTATTCACGTATATCTTCTAAATTAGCAGTTTGTTGGCATATAATTGGGCAAAATGATTTGTTTATTTCCTTTTCAGATATTGTGAATTCTCATTTCATTTTTAATACAAACAATTTGGTTTTCCTCTCCTTTTAAAAAATTAGACTGTTTATCTATATTACTAGTTTCCCAAAAAACAAACAGCTCTTAGATTTATTTATCATTTGGGGTTTTGTTTTTAATTTTATTAATCTTTCCTTTAGTTTTCAGAATTTCGACTTTGTTGTTTAGTTGAGGGTTGGTTTGGGTTTTTTTTTTTTAGTTCAGCTAAAGCATAATAGATTTTGCTCTAACTCCTCATTTTATCTCTATATAAATCTTTTTGTAAAAATTAATACAGCTGTTAGTAGTTAAATGGAACAGGCAATCACCTCTACACTTGAGGAAACACCATCAGCAGGGGCTGGAGCCATTTACAGAGAGCTTAGACACCCCAAAACTCCTTTAAGGGTGTTGAAGAACCTTTAGGGGAGGGGGGCGGAAATGTAACATAGCTGGCCTTCAGGCAATGGGGGCTGGGGCAGTCTGTATTACAGTAGTATTATCATCTAACCCACATCTCATCTTGTCCCAGAAAATAGCATGAATGACTGTCAAAAACTTCTGGAATCCAAGTGTGGTATAACTGTGTCTCTTAATTAATCTAATAACCAGTCCAGCAGTCTGGGGATTGCTCATCTAATCTGACTCGGTGACCTGTAACTCGGTAACCTAGCTTTAAACCTAGGACCAAGTGATCTTAATTAACAGGACATAGGAAACATGGGAGAGGATTTCAGTCCAGTGTTTGTTTGCTAAAATTAAAGCACAGATCTGACCCTGTTATTTCCCAAACGGCTCCCTGTTGCCTTTAGAAGGAAATACAAGTCCTTGACGATCTAGCTCCAGACTTTTTACAGAATAATCTGCTTCATATGTGCAATCTATAGTCCAGTCAAACTGACCTTCTTTATGTTCCTGATACACAGTATTTCATCCCCAGACACACTCACTTCTTAGAACCTCTTTTTAGCCTCAAGGCTCTACTCCTTCAGACTCCGCCGGTTCTGCATTCTCCGACCACTGTATATTTATTTGCGTATATTCTCATATTGACCTGTCTACAAATACTGTCCTACCCCCTAGTAGAAGGCAAGTTCCCTGAGGCTAAGGGCTGACTTTTCTTTGTATTCTCTGAGAAAGGCATAGAGGCTGATGACTTAGGAGTCACCCTCAACTCCTTTTCCTCTTTTGCCCCTTCCCCCATACAATTAACAATAATAGCTAGCACTTATGTAACACCATGTGCTTTATGAATATTATCTCATTTGATGCTCACAACAACCCTGTTATCCCCATTTTACAATTTAGGAAACTGAGACAAATAGAGATTTAAGTGACTTATCCAAAGTTATATGGCTAATAAATTTGAACTCAGACCCAAGTGCTGCCCCAATCTGTTGTGAAAGCCAATCGATTTCACCTTTGTAACATCTCACCAATATAATCCCTTCTCTTCCCTGACACATCCTGACATTCCCTGACATCGCCTCACACCTGGACTATTGAAATAGTCTGCTGCTTGGGCTGCCTGCCACAAGCTCTCCCACTCAGCTATCTCTCTTACTATCCCCTGCCCTATTTAACAAACTCTAGTGACTCCTTATCATCTCTTGGACAAAATTAAAACCCTCTGTTTGGCTTCAAAGCCCTTCATAACCTGCCCGCTGCTATGTTTCCAGTCTTCTTACTTTCCCTCCCATGGACTCTGAGATCTAGTGACACCAGCCTCCTGGCTGTTCCTCACACCAGACCCTCAGTCTTCTGACTTTGGCCATTCTCTCTGGCTGTCCCCTGTGCCTGGAATGCTCTCCCTCCTTCTCTCCTCTTCCTGGCTTCTCTGGCTTCCTTCAAGTCCCAGCTAAAAATGCCTCTTCTTACAGGAAGCCTTTCCTGACTCCCCCTTCATTCTCATGCCTTCCCTCTGTGGATTCTCTACAACTTGTTTGCTGTTTGCACATTGTCTCCCCCATGAGTTCCTAGAGAACAGAGACTGTCTTTTGCCTTTCTTTGTATCTTCGGTGCTTAGCACAATGCCTGGCACAAAGTAGACACTTAATAAATGTTTATTGACTGATTATTTTTAATTTGTTTTTGCTCACATGAAAGTGAAACAAGCTACAGTCATGCAGATTAATTTTTATATCAGCCACCACCCATAAACAGTCTGCATTTTACTTTTATCTCTATGGGATTTTTTTTAACCAGGAAGTAATGTTCCCACTGCAAAGGTCAGTGAAATAATTTAATTGTGACCTTATGTAAAACCAGATCTGCACATGCCTGACTGGCTGGATCAAAGGGTTCCCAATTCTTTGGACTGCAGCAAATTAGGAAGTAACCAGTTTATTTACATTAAAGCTATACAAGCCTGAGAATTTATTGTTGTTGTTTGACCTGAGGAACAGCTGAAGGAAGGGATAGGGCTTGTGAATGACTAGGCTTTATTTGTATATTTTAAAAAATCAGACAAAGACTGACTTTTCAGGGTGATAAATACTTTCTTATTTTTCATCTTTTCAGACTTTTTTTTTAATCAGGAGGAGGGGAAAGAAATATTGCTTTTTTTTTGTTTTAGTTTACTCGCTGGTAAAATGAGAGGGGGTGGGGTTAGATTTTCTTAGGGGCAGCGAGGTGGCATAATGGATAGAGCATGGGCCTGGACACCTGAGTTCAAATGCAGCCTCAGACACTTACTAGCTATGTGACCCTGGGCAAGTCACTTCACCCCATTTGCCTCAGTTTCCTTACCTGTAAAATGAGCTGGAGAAAGAAATGGCAAACCACTCCAGTAACTTTGCCAAGAAAACCCCAAATATGGTCACAAAGAGTGGGACACAACTGAAACAATTCAACAACTACAAAGGCCATTCCAAGGGAATCGTTGGAAGAATTGGGGAATCTTTACTCTGGAGAAGGCTTGGTGGGTGGAAGATGGGCGGTATGATTTTTTAAAAAATCATTTACATTGTAAAAGTTTTCTAGAAAAATGTGACAATGGTGATCTTTCCCATTTTCCCCACACAAGCTCCCCCTGTCCCTTCCTTCCCTATTCATTGGCTTCCTCTCCCTCCAGAAAGCAGCAGCCCACAAACGCCAGGTTGGTTGTATTGTTCATCAACATAAATTGCATTTTCTCTAGTCCTCTTTCTCTTTGTTGGGTGGAAAGTCCTAACGGGCCTGAGAAACAGCAGGAGGGGACTTGGGCTGGCAAACACCGGGTGCCTGACATCCCTAAGGCCTGAAGTGCCCAAGCATTTGGAAGCCCTCACTTCGGGAGAAAAATTCTCAGCAGCCACCCAAGCATTAAGGGGTGGGTGGGAAGGAGGTGCGGCCAGACGTTGGGATCCCAGGGGTGTCTAGGGGACTGGCAGCTGGGTTAGTTTGTCAGGCAGGATCCTGGGGGCAGGGGTGGGGGTCTCAGGAGAGAGGGGGCTCGGCCGGAGGAACAGAGCTCCCGCGGCTACTGGACCACCGGGGAGCACTGCAGAGGGCGGGGCGTGGGAACCTCTTTGTGGCCCGGGGGAGCAGCTCGGCGGGCGGAGCCGGGGCTGGACCCGGACCCCGCAGCCTCCGCGGCCTGCTCGCTCGCTGCCTCTCCGACTCCCACATCTCTCCGGCAGGCAAGCAGGCAGGAAGGCGGGCAGGAAGGCACGGGCAGGCGCGCGGCGGCTGGAGCTGGAGCTCGGGAGAGAAGCGCGCGGCGGCAGCGGCAGCGGAGACAGCTCCGACCCCAGGATGAGCGGGCTGCACATTGACCGCGCCCGGCTGCCCGGAGTGCGGGAAGGTAAGACCAGTTTCGGGCACCCTCCCCTGTCCGAGGGGCGGGGTCGCTGGGGACAAGAGGGAAGGGACCTAGGTAAAGCACCATCCAGGTGAGCGGGGAGGGGTGAGGAGGATGCCAAACAAACCAGCTTTGTGCAGGGCATCTCCCGAGGAAGGGGCTGCCTAGGGCAGGGTGCTGGGCTTAGGCGTCCCCTCTTCCTGGGTGGATGCCTGCTCGGCTGCCTCCGGCGCCCCAGCCTTTGTCCCTTCCACCTCCTTCTGGCTCTCCACCCCTTTTCAAAGGTCCCCTCTATTTCCTCCTCTGACATTGCGCCCTACTGGGCCATTCCTCTACAGAGCCCAGGTCCCCCTCTCTCCAGCCTCAGCTCTAACCCTCCTGGGGCCAGGGTGTGTCGCTCGGGGCCATCAGGTAGCCTAGACTTCCCCTTAGTGTAGAAATACCTGCTGCCCGGCCCCTCCCCTTCCCAGCGTGGATCTGAGGCTTAATCATTCCCCCAGCAGCTACTGCGTGCCAGGCACTGGGGGATGAAAAGACAAAGATGAAACAGCCCTTTCCTTCAACGATTTAGAGACAGAAGGTACCTCAAAGGCCATCTAGCCCAACCCCTTATTTTACTGATGAGGAAACTGAGGCCCAAGGAGACGCCTTCAAGTGCCTTGCCCATGAGCACAAGGCAAATAAATGGCAGGGAGGATTTGAATTCAGGTCCAGCACGCTTTACCCTGTACTAGGTTGTCGCTAAAGTTAGCTTACTGTTACAGTGAACCTGTAAGCTGGAGCCCCTTAGAAGTAATCTACATGGCACAGTGGAAAGACTGTTGGAACCCAGAGGAGCTGGGATTTAGATCCCGGCTTCCTGCTATTGCGGGACCATGTGTGTGACCATGGTCAAGTCACTGCATCTCTGTCCTCCAGGTAAAATGGGGGTATTGTATTAGAAAGTCCCTTTAGCCCTCGATTTATGATCCAGTGAGTAAAATGGTGTACTAAAGGATGGGGGCGGGGTGATACTTAAAGACAGGACAAAACATAGTAAAAAATTGGTCAGTAAACTTTATTAAGCACCTACTGTGTGCTATGGAGACCTCCAGAGACCTGAATTCTGGTTTTCACTCTGCCATTAACCAGCAGTCACCTCATCTCTCTGAGCCTCAGTTTCCCTGTCTGTAAATCCACCTCCAAGGGTCTTTGCTCTGTCCAAATCAAGAAAGCAGACTGTCATTTGTAGACAACTTTGTCTAGTGTCTGGAGACTCCTTGGTTGTCTAGCTTGAAAAGTCAGCCCCAGTTTTATTTTTATGACTCCTGTGACTTTAATTACAAATAATCTTCCTCAAGAAATTATAATAGAACCCCTTTATAATGATGTCACAGAACAGGGCTGACAGCTGTTAGGCCATCCAGGCCATGTCTGGCTTTGAGGCAGCTGGTGGCACAGTGGATAGAGAGACTGATGGATTTGGAGGGAGAAGGACCTGAGTTCAAATTCAGCCTCAAACATTTGCAAACTGTGTGACCATTGGCAAGTCACCTAACCTCTATTTGCCTCAGTTTCCTCAATTGTAAAATAGGGATAATAGTAGGTGCTATGTAAATGCTTATTCTTCCCCTCCCCCCTTTTATGGTGGCATTAGATTTGGAGGGAAGTAATCTTTATTTAGCCCTTTAGAAGATTTATGGGAAAACATGGACAAAGATTGCGTGGAATTGGGGCAGCTAGGTGGTACAGTGGATAGAGCTCTGGCCTTGGAGTCAGAAAGACCTGAATTCAAATCCAGCCTCAGACACTTGACACTTAATAGCTGTGTGACCCTGGGCAAGTCACTTAACCCTGATTGCCTCACCAAAAAAAAAAAAAGATTGTATGGAATGGAAAGGTTTAGAAGAGTTGTGATCTGCGTCAATGATTGTGGACTTACAAATCTTTCAAAGTATCAAAGAATATTGGACTCCAGGTAAGTGACTTTGGTTGTGATGAGGTTCGTGTTTTTAAGATTTAGGATTTCATTTTTTAAAAATTCACCCTTTTATTGTCAAGAAACTGAAAAGGTATAAATTTGATACAAATTTGGAAGAAGAAAAAAACAAGCATTGTGAAATTCCTTTCTTCTTTTCTTAACAGAAGTTAACTAGCAAACACTTCCCACTCCTTTATAGTCTCTATTGTATAAGGCAAAGGATCAGAAACAGCTAATTTCACTATTGGGATGACAAAGGGGTTAGGAGTAGATTTTGCTTTTAAAAAGAAGCAAATAAAAGCACCCTGTGTTTTTGTACAATAGAGAGCTCATTAGATAGGTGTTTTACGTATTACATTTCTTTTTAAGAACTGCAGAAAATGCTGTATAATTTTTAGCAAAAGGCAAAACTTTGGAGAGGAGTATTCTCCCCCCTTCATATTATTAATGGGACATTCCCAGTAACAAAGAGCTTTAGAGAAAAACAATCTTTCTGTTCTGTCCAGTTCTTGGGATTCATAGGATGTCTTTTTATTCAAACAGGAAGCCACCCATCCAAGGGAAGCCTCATGAATAGTGGTTATCCCTGTAGGGCAGATTTGGGGATGTGTTATTTGCCCAGTATGCCTTTTAACAAATGGACAGGCATCTAGCCTTGTAGTTAATCAAAAGAAAGAAAACCAGGCATTTTGACTCAGTTCAAGGAAAGAAATTAAGGCATTACTGGAGGAAATTGTACATTCCCCAAAGCAAGATGGAGTTACAGAAAAAACACGGCTTTAGCTCCGCGGGTGCCTTTATCCTGTATTTGTCTCCTGTAAAAAAAAAAATTATTGGGTTTTGGTACAGGCAGACCTATGCAGGGCCTTCTTGGTATTGACAGTAAATCTCCAGGGAGAACACTAAATCTGACAACATTCCTTTGTAAGGAATACATGCGACTCAAGGGTATTGGCATTTTAAAAAAAAAAAACAATGCCAGCTCTTTTCCTCTGGGAGAAAATATCCCTCAGTATGCTTTTGTTCAGAAAGCAATTTCTTTGTTGTGAATGTTTTGAGAAATGGCCAATGTCCTTGTGTTTCCGATGTAATCTATCCATACAGTGTTTTCTTTCCGGACTACTTTATCAGTAGATGCCACACCCCTCCCTCCGCCGGGTCCTCCCCAGACTCAGCCTTCCCACTTTTCAGGGGATTTTGAACCCTCTGCTTTGCAATCCCATTTCAACGATGACGGGCCAAGGGACAGAGGTTTGCCTTGTGCTCTTTAAATTGCAAAGATTCCTTTGCTGACATCAGGCTGGATAACAGACTACATCTGTGTGATTTTCAGTACCGGAAAACGAAGGATCCAACTTCATGAATGCTAGGTCCGCAGCTTTCAGAGCCTATTCCTGCCTCTTTCTTTTACGGATGTGGCCAAGGAGAATAGATAGACCCCATAATCCTCTGGGTCTCAGTTCCCTCTTCTGTCAAATTAGCAACATTAGCACCTGCTTCCCAGGGTTCTTATAAGGCTTGAATGAGATAATTTATGCAAAGCACTTTGGAAAAATTAAAGTGCTTCATAAATATCAGTTGCTATTACTAATATTGAAAAATCATTCTTATCTTGATCAAATGAAATGCTTGGCACAGTACCTGGCACATAGAAAAGTTAGCTATTGTTAGTATTAGTATAAATTGATCAAAGGAATTCAATTGGTAATAGTCCTAGGACAACTCACCGGCCTGCTAGTTAGTATTATTATTGTTGTTATTGTTATTATCTTCTCTTTTTTTGATGGGGTTCAGATAGAAAGAGTCCTGGGACAACTCACCATCCTGCTACAGTTAATATTATTATTATTATTATTATTATTATTATTATTATTAATCTTCTGGTTTTTTTGGATGGGGTTCAGATAGAAACAGTCCTAGGACAAGTCACTATCTTGATTTTATTTTTTCCAAATAAAGTGGACTGTTGTACAGGCAGATAAAATATCTGCTTTTTGTCATCAAATAAAAGTGTCAGGATATAAGCTTCTAATAATAACTAGAATTTCTGTAGGGCTTTTAGGATTGCAATGTGCTTTATATATACTATTTCGTTTGATCTTCACAACATCCCTGGGAAGTAGGTGTTGTCACTATCTCCAGTTTACAACTGAGGAAACTGAGACGAGCAGGGGTCGAGTGACTTGCCCAGGGTCACTCATCTAGTAAGTGTCTGAGGCTGGATTTGAACTCAACTCTTCCTGACTCTAGGCTCAGTCCTCTTACCTCCTGTGCCACCTAGCTGTTTATCTTCATGCCTTTGTATAGTACTTACATATTGGTTCCCCCCAGTAGAAGGTGAGCTCCCTGAAGGCAGGGACTATGATTTTTGCCTTTCTTTGTGTCCCAGTGCTGAATGGGGTGACTGGCTCCGAACAGCAAATGTCTGTTGACTCGACATAGTACAATTCTGGTAGCCCACCGAGCAAGCACATCATCCCAGGCCTGCGTTGCACCTTTCTTAGAATCCTAAGAGTTTTATCTTGAAGGCTGGGGTTCTCATCACAGCTTGGTGTGCTACAGTGACAAGGATTGGTCTGTTTGCGAGTGTGAGCATTCACACCTAAGCAAACACTGCAAATCAGGTCCTGATTGATCGTTCTATTGGCTGTCTAGACAGCACAGCCAGGTGGCATCATAGTGCACAGAGCGCTGGGCTCGGAGTCAGGAAGACTTATCTTCACAAGTTCAAAGCTGGCCTTAGATATTTCCTAGCTGTGTGAAGCCAGGCAAGGCACTTCACCCCACCTGCCTCCGTTTCCTTTTCCTCCTCTGTAAAATGAGCTGGAGAAGGAATTGGCAAACCAGTCCAGTATCTTTGGGGTCACCAAGAGTTGGACGTGACTAAAACAACTGAACAACAACCAAGACTCAAGAAAGTAGAAGGAAGGGCCAGCTAGATGGAGCAGTGGGTAGAGCACTGGCCTTGGAGCCAGGAGGACCTGAGTTCAAATTCAGCCTCAGACACATGATACTTATTAGCTGTGTGACCCTGGGCAAGTCG